TGACAATGCTTGGCGCCCGGCCACGGCTTGAGGTGGGGGGGGGGGGGCACGACGCGTGTGCAGCGTGAGTTTTGTATTGGCGGCCCAATGCGCTGCTGAGGGCGGCGGCGTCGCGGCGCCGACTTCCTGCCGAGGAGACTATCATCATCATCATCATCATCCCCTTGTTTGCCCGGGCAGGTGTGGGTGGAGTCGGGCGGAGGGGAGGAAGCCGCGCTTCCGGTGCAAACAGACAGACTCTGGCATTCCTCGCCCGCCATTGAGTCGCGTGACGGGGCTCTTGTTGTGGTGTGTGGCGGTGACCCCCGCGCGCTTGCACCCTCACGGCCTTCGGCGGCGGGGCGCTGCTGCATTCAGTCAGCGGCAGCAGCCACGGTCGGGAGCGCGCTGGATGAGAATTATGTTTGGGAAATATTTGGGTGATGTCTTTGTGTGCAAATGGCTTTGGTGCCGATTGCATCTCTGCGGCTGGGAACGCTGTGCTGAGGCCGCTGAGCGCGCTGCGCGGCTGTACGGCTGAGCGCGCCGCGAGCCAGCGGGCGGCTCATCCATCGGGACCCTCGGCTCAGCAGCGGCCCATTGTCCCTCGCGCGGCGCGGCCCGCGGCTCCCTTGGACGGACGACGGCCGCCGCGGCGGAGGAGTCGTCGTCGTCGTGTCGCCCGACTCCTCCTCCTCCCTCCTTGGCGGACGCGGAGAGTCCCGCTCGCCGTGTGTGCCCCTTTCTACTCTAATGACGCTGACACGAGGAAGTTTTTGGGCGGGGGAGCGGGGGGGAGGTGGAGCACACCTGATGGGACGCCCACGCCTCGCAGCGGGAGCTCCCCGCCCGTTCGACTTTGCCTCTTTCATCTCTTTCGATGCGCCTCGTCGTTTCCTTTCTGCCGTCTGTAAACGATATTCCTATCCTTCCTCCTTCCTGCGGGCGGGCGGGCGTCTCCGGCCGTTCAATGGGTCAGCGAGGGCGCGCTTTATATGCATTGACGGGCGGGGCGGGGCGGGCAGCGGAAGTGCCCAGGTGAGGAGGTGCACGGCACGGCCGCCGGGTCTGTCATCCTATGGAGGGGCCCCTCCTTGGTGCTCTTCCCTTTTAGCTGGTTTCTCCGGGCTCACTTCCCTCCCCCTCTTCCGGCCGCCCCTGTGTGCTTGCTTGCGACGTCCAGCCCCGTCCGCACCGTGACGTGCGCTTCCCGCTTGGCGTGTATAACGTGTGTGTAATGTGAGAGAAGGTATCCTTTCTCCTTCATCCTGCCCTTCGAATGGGAAAGGGTGCTGCTGCTGTTGGCGGGTCGCTTTGCCCGAATGGGGAACATCATCAGCGCCTCTCTGCGCCCGTACGAAGAGCGAAATAACATGCACTACACGGCGGGAGAACGGGACGCTCGTGAAAAGAAATAAAGTTTAAGGTGGGAAATGGGAGGAGAGCGCTGAGTAATGAGTTTCCATGATGATCATCGCGCCGCCGAGTCATGGGAGAGCTAATCCCTCCAGCAACGTAATCGCGTGGGGCGCATCTGGGGGGCGCAAGTGTCGAGGAGAGCGTGGCGCGGACTATAATCCCGCAGCCAAAACCGCCCCTGTTTGACGCCGGTATGTGGGAACCGCACGACGGCGGCGGCGTCGGTATAGTGGGAAGGCGGCGCGACGCCGCGCGACGCTCTCCTCCTCTAACCAGCACCCCGCGTCGCATTCTTGGTGTCGGAGCCTGAATGCAACGGGCCGGGCGTTGTAAAAATGAGCGACAAAGCTGCTCCTGCTCTAAGCCGATCAGTATAGTTTCGGCTGGTCAATCGGACACGCCCCGCCGGCCAGCTCGCTGCTGCGGCACGTTTACGACGCCTAGGGTGGCATTTATATGACCATCGTATTCTTAAATTGACAGGGAATAACGCGCCGCTTCCTCCTTAGAGGTGATCGCGGGCCTCGGAGGCCCTCCGCTCGGCCGAGCCCGTCAGCGGGGCCGTTCGTGTGACGAGATGATCAGTTTTGGGCGTTCGTCGCTCGTCGGGTGGTGGGATTTTGGCACCGCCACGGCTGTAAGATGGTGGAGGGGGGGAGAGGCCGGGGGTGAGTGCTTCTTCACTTACCGTGTGGTGCCCCCCTCCCCCCGCCGTGGGGCGGTAAAATTAGCCCAGCAATTTCTCTCTGTTTATATTTAGCGGGCGAGCGTCGCCGAGCTGAGTTGTGACCCGGAGAGGCCGCTGCACGTTCCGCGCTCTGGACGGACATGAGGTGTGGTGGTGGGGGGGGGGGGGGGGCTATTTCGGCCGCGCGGTGCACAGCGAGGTCCCCGTGCTGCTGCTGGTCCCTGGCCAGCAATGTCGCACGCACGACCGCACGCGTGCTCGCGGCCGCCGCGGCTGCGCGGGACACAGCATGTGGGGAGGGGAGGAGGGGTCAAGTTCATCACTGTCGAGAAAAAGTTTTGAAAACGACATTAAAAGAAGTTTTTGACGTGATTAACCGAGCAGCAGGTTCGCCTTTCTCTCCTTGCCGATGCCGGTCACGCCCGTGACGCAACCCCGCCGCTCTGATTGTGTCTGTGTGTGAGCGCGCTCGGCCGGCTGCCGGCTGGCGGGTTCAGCCTGGCGTCGTCCCGACGACTGTTGATCTGCGATTCCCCGCACAGTGTGCGCTCCCGCCCCGAGCGTGTTTGCGTCCCCACGTGGCGGCGCGTCAGGAGCGGCGGCGGCGGCGCCGTCTCGGCGTCCCGTTGGGCGAGGAGGGTATTGTCTGCGCGTAATTGGATGAGTTCGTCTGTTTTGCGGAAACTTGGCGTCGCGCGACGCTGATGCGTGTGTTTGCTTTCCGTTCGCGTTATTTTCCCAGGAGGAGTGAAGCGTTGCGGCGCGCTGTCTTTGGTGGGCGGAGCGGGGCGGGGCCGCTTCGCTCGCGAGGTGCCCGGCCGCCAAGGCCCGCCCTGCGCACGCCGCCCGCCCGGCGGATCAGAGCCAAACTTTCTCGTCCCGCGGGGCCTGCGGTCCTAAAGGCAGCCCGGTACCCAGCCCAGCCCTGCTCTCCCGAAACTCTGTTAAAAGCCTTTACAGACTGCCCAAAATGTTTTGCGCGGGCTTGTCGCTGAAACCTTCCACCCTCCTGCTTTCTCAGGATGGCCGAGGCCGGAGCCAAGGCCTGAGACTGCGGACAGGACAGCCCCCCCCTCCCCCTTTACCATGGTGGGCCCATGTCGCCAGCGTTTGGGGCAGACAGTGGGGTGCGGGTTCGAGGAGGGGGCGCAGAGTGTGAGATACGGAGGGAAGCCATGCAAGGCGGCCATAATTTTCCGCCACGACGATGATCCAGGAGCGCGCAGTAGACGGAGCAGCGGAAGGAGGGAGGGGGAGGGGGAGGGAAGCCCAGCGCGGCGCGCACGCCCTGGCCGCGTGTCTCGTGTTCCAATCTAAGAAAATTCCGCCGCCGAGGAGGGAGGTTGTGGGGGAAGGGTTTGGGTCTGTCGGGGTGGGGTT